CGCAGATGAGGATGCATTGTACCTTTCAAGGGAGCCTCATCAACTTGGTTGTGTACAGGGTGTTTATAGGAGTAGAGGGTGAGAGAGGGTGGTCTTCTCCCATCCCCTCCAAGCTCTCTCTCCTTGTCTTTGTCTTCATGGTGGTTGTTGCTTTCCATGTTCTAAATATCACCCATTCACTTTTTCTTTTTATTCATCTCCTTATCATCTAGTGGAAGGCTTTAAACAGAGGAGTGACATCATTTTGTTTGCACCAAACAAACAAACACACAAACAAACAACCTCACTCTGGCTGTTATGTTTTCTTGGCTTCTTCCTGTTCTGTCTGTCTCTGCCTCCGACCTCACCCCATCCCACCCCACTTCTGGCCCATGTCTCTGGACCAGACTCTAGGAGTCAGCCCGGGGCCTGGGTCAGCTTGAGCAAAGTCTGTGTCTCCCCCTTTACCGATTGCTGGTGATCCGGTGACGTTTCTTATGCCTTTGGGTGTCCTGCATCTCTGTCACCTCCTCACTCCACCGAGGCTTGCCCAGCCTGCAAACACAAAGGAAGCTTGGTTACCTGGGACTCCCACATGATCTCAAGGTTCTGTAGGAACTAATGTAGGTTGGCTTCCCTGAAATCGGGTTCTGAGATGGAGAATAGAGTGAGGAATTTTATTCAGAAATGTTCTTGGGTCAACACCAGGGCAAAGAAAGGGAGGAAGCAGGAATAGGCAGGGGGACAAGTTGGGCTATGATACAATCGCAAGGGACACAGCTGACACTGTGGAACTTCTGATGTGGGGATGACCCTCCAGGCTGTTCCATACTGGGAGGAGGTGCTTTATACCACTACACCAATCAGTCACTGGCTGCAGGCCAACCCAGGGAGGGGAGGTGACCTTGTGTGATTTGGCAGAGGCCATCCCTGTAGCCAGCAGCACTTCCAGTTACTGGGTTTACATCTTCTTTCCTGAAAGGGACCTAGGCAGCACTTCCCAGCATCCACCAGCCAGGAACCATGGCCTCAAACTGACCACATAGGAGTAGGTCCTGGAATTTCCTTCCTAGAGGCTAGGAGGTGTCCTGGAAAGAAAGAGCCACTCTCACAGGCCCTGTGTTCTGGGGTTTCTGTTGGATTTGTTCCAGGGGTAGGAGCCACCCATGGGGAAGTGAACTCTGCGGATTACAGAGAGCAGTAGACATTGAATTAATTACTCTACACAAGCTCACTGAGCATGTACTGAATATCCCACCCGAAGCCGTGCACTGCATAGCTAGTAGAGTGACTGCAAGCGCAAACATATCACAGAAAGATTTGGGTTGGAGTCATAGCCCCTCTGCTCTCTACTGTGGATCCCTTAGTAAGTTATTGAAACTCGCTAATCTCACTTTTCTTATTTGTAAGTAAAAGTAATAATAGCACCATCTTATAAAGTTGTGAGTAGTAAGTGACCTAATGTATGCTGATGGCTTAATATATGGCTGCAGGTGGTTAACTGTTTCTAGAATGATGATGTTGATGAAAATAATAATAGTATTAAGAACAATAAAATAGGAAAATTATTATTTTTAAAGGTCCTACTTTTCAATAATTAATGCAATCTATATGGTGATATTAATGAAAACCACTTGAGCTTAAAATAACACTTACAGAGATATTACAGAGACTTTCCCCAGGTTCCCAGTTGGTATATAGTAGAGTGATTTCCTGGGATGTCAGCTTCTGTGTCTGTGAGTTGGGAGTAATATTATCACCCAGCTGAGATCATGTCTCTGACAGCGAATGGTAATGTGTTATGTAAGAGATCAGGACTAAGATTATAGACGTTGATTACTTATGACTGGAAACCCTTGGGAGGCACGACTCATGGCTGGTTGTTACTGGTATGGCACTTTGCACACAGTGGATGTTAATAAGACAGGGACATATAGGTGGAAAGAGATTTAAATGAGATTTATGAGACATAACAACCCAAATACAACAAGTGAACTTTGTTTGGATCCTGATTAGAACAAACCTACTGCAAGGACACATTTTGGACAATTGAGTGTATTGAATGCAGAATGGGTATTAGATGATATGAAAATGACTTACTGTAAACGTTGTTAGATCTGATAGTGGCATTGTGGTTATGGGAGAAAAGGTGTTTATTTATATTCTTTAAAATGCATCAGAAAGTATATGGGGCTAAAATCACCCGATATCTTGTATTTAAAACACTATAATAACGCCCTAGCTGATTTCGCTCAGTGGGTCCTGGGTTTGATTCCAGTCAAGGGCCCCAGCCCATGTTGCGGGCTTGATTCCCAGTAGTGGGCATGCAGGAGGCAGTCGATCAATGAATCTCTCTCATCATTGATGTTTCCATCTCTCTGAAATCAATAAAAATCTAAAACAAAACAAAAACTTGATTGAGGTATACACAACATGCCACAAAATGAAAGTATTTTAAAAATAAAATAAAATACTAGAAGAACAAAAGAAGGGGAAAGTGAATAGTTGAAACAGATTTGGGAAAATGGTTGTTGAAGCTGAGTAATGAGTAAGTGGTAGTCCCTTGGACTCTTTTTCTTTGTTGTTTGCAACTTTTCATAATAAAACTCCTGATTCCATAATAAAAGCACTAATCCAGCCCTGGTCTGTCTGCCTGGTGGCTCAGCAATGGGAGGGGGCCCAAATGACTATGAGTGGGGTGCTGAGTGCCTGTTGGGATCCAGTGTGGGGATGTGTGGGGATGGCAGGGTTGGGGGCCAGCCTGGCACAGTAGAATCCCCTTACTCACCGGTACCGACTCCTCCTGTGTTTGTCAACCATCTCTGTAGCCACAGGCCCTGTGGGACCCCCGAAGTTATCAACCCTCTTTCGAGGTTCCAATGGTTGTTTCCTCAGAAGTCCAGGAAAAGGAAAATACAAGGGTTCCACCTTTTCTACAAGAGAGGAACAGACAGGGCAGTGGTCAGCTTTAGTCTCCTGTCTGGCCTCTCCTACCCCTTAAGCTAGAACATGGAGGGGTCCTTCTCAAGACTGGTCTGCCTAGACTTTGGAAGATGTGTGTTAGTAGCCTCTGTCCATGCTTCTGGGGCTGACTACCTGCTATCTGAGGAAGCCCAACCCTGTTGTCCCCTGATGCCACCCCTACCCACTGGTATAGAGGGCATTTCTATTCCCTCATCCACCAGAAAGATAGCTTATGAGAAGAACATGGCTCTAAAGGTGGATGGACAATGATGGAAAGGGATTCCCGGGCCTCAGAAGCCCAGTGTGGATCAGAGACTGAGATATGCCAGACATGAGCTGGAGAGGAGCAGCCTCAGCCCCTGAGCCTGGGAGGGAGGAAACCAGAGATCTTCCCAGGTTCTAGGTGTGGAAGATCTTGCATGGAGCGAGGCTTCTCTAGTTGTCAATTTTGCCATGGCTCACCCCAGAGGCAGGAGCATGGAGGAGATGGCCTTCCATATCCTCCTCACCCCTGTCCCAGTTAACATTGCTCCCAGCCTGGCCCCTTCAAAGTACCTGATTTTGATCTCTGCCATTGGGGTGGAGATGTGCCATCACTCGTCTGTCCTTCACCTGGTTCCATCTTAGTGATCGTTGCACTTGGCTCCCTAGACACAGAGTTGGTCATTCTCCCTGAGATCTTGGAGGAAGTTGGGGCTGTCTATGTGACATCCCCACTTAATTTCAACCCATCTGAATTTGAACTCATGGCCTTCATCTGACTTTCTCTCATAGACCCTGTCTTCGTGATGGCCCCCATGCACTCCTCCATCCATGCAGGACTGGGATGTAGTCCTGGCTCTGTCTGGCTCCCTCTGAGAGTTGATTGGCCACCTTGTCACTGGCTCTAGTATAGCTGTCCTTCTAGTCCCTTCTCTCCACCACCACAGCCTCCACCTCCAGCCAAAGCCCTGGCATCTGTGGCTTGAACCACTTCATCCTCCTCCTAAAGGTGCCCTCTTCTCTAGTCCCTCTCCAGGCCATTTCTACACAGTAGGTGATCTTCTATTTGAACCTGACTCATCATGTAGCTACTGAAGCCCTGAAATCATTCTTTATTGCTTTTGAGGTAGAAGCGGAAGTTATTAACATGGCCCAAAGGCCTCTTTGTCCTCCCAACTTCCTGCCACATGTCAGCTCCAATCCCACCTCTGCCACTCTCCCTGCTCACTCACTTCTGATCCAATGCTGCTCAGAGGCCTTGTCAAAACACAGATTCTGATTCAGCAGGTCTGGAGTGAGGCTTGAGATTTGCATTTTTAATGAGCTCTCAGGTGATGCTGATGCTGATACTGCTGGTCCATGGTCCACATTTTGAGTAGCAGTGTTTCTGGTCCCTGGCCTCCTTCCATTCCTCAAAGGAGCTGAGATCAGAGCCTCTACCTCTGCCAGGAATCTACCCACTCTTGGCCCAGCTAAACCCTCCCACCTTTCATAACTCAGCTCAGGTTCTTTGGACGGACTCAAATAGGTCATCAGAGCATTCATGCTGATCCCAGGCACAATGATTCATGTTGTGGGTCACCTGGGCCTGTGTCCCTGCTGAGTTAATTCCTAGATATTGGGCCTGTGTCCATGGTCCTGTGCCCAACACACTGTGGGTCTGAGGAGAATGCTTGTTCCCTGAGGAATGGCTCCTCCTAAGGCCTTTTAATGGCTTCTGCCAGACTAGGTGAGGCAGAGGAATGGGAACCTGGGCATAGATAAACTTTGCAGCCACAGACCAAAATATACCAAAACTAAGGCCCATGGGGCTGCAACAAATTCCCAGCAGAAAATCGTATTCTCTTGTTTCCAGGATTCCCCTCAGCTGGGCTGCGTGCATGGGTGTTTATTTGTGTGGAGATTGAATGAGGGTGGTTTGTTCCCTCCAAAGCTCTCTCTGCTTGTCCTTATCTCCCCCTCATCGTCATTGCTTTTCATGTTCCAAATCTCACCCACTCACTCATACACTTTTCTTCATCTTTTCACCTCCTTATCATCTCATGGGAGGGTTAAACAGAGAAGGGGCATAATCTTGTTTGAACTAAACAAACAAACAAACACACAAACAACCTCACTCTGGCTGCTGTGGTTTCCCTGGCTTCTTCCTGGTTCTGTCTGTCTCTACCTCCAACCTTACCCCACCCCACTTCTGGCCCATGTTCCTGGAACAGCCTCTAGGAGTCAGCCCTGGGCCTGGGTCAGCTCTAGGGAGTTCTGTGTCTTCCACTTACTGTCTGCTGCTGATGACCAGCTGAGGCTTCTCCTGCTGCAGGAGACTCAGCATCTTTTTCACCTCCTCACTCAGCTGAGTCTGGTCCAGCCTGAAAACACAAAGGAAGCCTGGTTATCCTGGGACCCCAGCATGATCTCAAGGGCCTCAGGGCCCAAAATCATGGAACGTTTCAGGTCCTGCAGGAACCTGCTGTACGCTGGGTTCCCTGAAAACACGTTCCATGGTGGAAAGAAGAGTTAGAAGATTTATTAGGGAGTGTTCTTGGGTCAATACCAGGGCAAAGGGAGGAAACAGGACTGGGTAGAGGGACAAGTTGGGGTGTGATGCAGTCCCCAGGGACACAGCTGACTCTGTGGGACTTCAGATGTGGGGATGACCCTCCAGGGCTGTTGGAGGAGGGTCTTTATACCACTACCCCAGTCACTGGATGCAGGCCACCCAGGGTGGGGAGGTGACCTTGTGTGAGATGGCCCCAGCTTGCAGAGGCCATCCTCATAGTTGGCAGCACTCTCAGGGGT